ACGCGGTGGAGCGGCTGACGGCCTGCCTCGCGCCCTACCCCGCGATCGACCTCTCCTTCTTCGCCGCCCTGCAGCGGCTTCGGTTCACCGAAAAGAAGCTGCAGCTTTTCGAGGAAGGCTGTCTGTTCCGCGCGGGGCTCCCGGGCTGCCCGGATCGCGTGCATGGGGAGTTCTGCCACTGCGTGACCGCCACCGGGCGGCTCTCCTCGCAGGCCCCCAACCTGCAGAACATCCCACGCGAGGAGGACTTACGGGGGCTCCTGCGCTCCCGCTTCGGCCCCGCCGGGCGGATGATCGAGGCGGATTACAACCAACTCGAGGTCGTCGTCCTCGCGGCGCTCTGTCGGGACCCCCGGATGATGCAGGAGATGCGGGATCAGGTCGACTTCCACTGCCTGCGCGTCTCGTTGATGACGAAAGAGCCCTACGAGGCGGTCGTGCGGAAGGTTAAGACGGAGAAAGACCCACGCTACGTCCAGCTCCGACAGCAGGCGAAGGTCTTTTCGTTTCAACGCCAGTACGGCGCCGGCGTCGCCACGATCGCGACGACGACCGGGTTGACGGAGCAAGAGGTGGATCGCCTGATCACCGCCGAGGAGCAGCATTACAAGGAGCTCGGGCGGTATTATCAGCTCGTGATGGACTGCGTCGAGGCCGGCGCGGATCGCCTGATGCGGCTCCGCACGCTGGATACCCCGCATTGGAATGCCAACCTCCGTCGCATCGTCATGCTCACGGAGCCGCTTTATTATTTCGTCGTCCCCACCGGCAGTAAGTTCGACCTCACGAAGGATCGAAAGAGCATTCCACGGCTCAAAAACTACCCCGTTCAGGGCCTCGCGGGCGAGATCGTCCAGATCATGTGCGGCGTTATCCTGCGAAAGTTCTACGCGACGCAAAATTATCAACAAAAGGCGTTTTTGGTCAACACCGTGCACGACTGCGTGTGGGTGGATGCGCATGAGTCCGTCGCGGAGCAGGTGAAGGAGGATCTGCAGGCGGTGATGGATAACACGCAGCAGGTGATCGGGGATCTCTGGCCGGAGATGAACCTCGACGTCCCCTTCCGCGCGGAGATCCACTCCGGCATCTCTCTAGGGGAACTCTAATCCAAGATGGTGAAACCCTCCCTCCAAAAAGAAAAGAAAGAGGTAGGGGGGGGGAGAAGGGGATAAAGATGCCCAAGGATAATGATATTAAACTTACAAAGGGAAACTTAATAGTAGATATGGATTCTTACTCCGCAGGATAAATCCATCATAGCGCCCGAGGGGGGGGGAGGGGGCATGCTCGCATAGATGTTAGTTCTCTTTTACTGTGATTTGACTGATGATTTGTATCGTTGTGCATTAGACCTATTCACTATAGAGATAAAAAACGTATTCCTAATCTCTCTTCTCCCCTCCCCTTCCCTCTCTCCCACTAACCTCATCCATGTTTGGTCTTGATAGGCAATGGTGCGGTTGTGAATCGAGCCCGGTACTGTTCAGTTGATTTCTGGTGCTGCTTTAAACATTATCGGGCGAGGAATGCGCCACGAGTTATGTGCGGAAGGGGGGGAGGAAGAGAAAGTGGATTTATCAAACTACTTAGTTGGATACATATTTTGTATATGTTTTTGTTGTTGTTTTTTGCTTTGGCACCTTGACTCCTCGTTCATAGGCTCGGTTGTAAGCCTAACTTTCATCATATACCCTTCTACCTTCCCTCTTTTCCCTCATCAATCAAAATCTAGCGCTATAGAAGCATATAAAGAAACGAACACCCATACAAGGAAAGTGTGCGTGAGAGGGTGTGTTTTGCCTCTCTGTTCCGCCGCTTATATACAATCGTTTCCTTTTTTTCTTTTCTTTTAAATTGACCTCAATCCATATCTCGACACGAGGTCCGACGTTTCTCTCCGTGGATCGTGTCTTTCGCACAGACGTTAGTGTTCGATTCCTTGATTAACAGCCGGTGGGTTAAGCGACGTCTCCGCGTTCCTTTTTTCGAGTGTGTAGAAGGTTCCTGAGTAAACCAGAGCGTATAATCCACAAGAAAATGACCTCGCCGGGCCTTCAGGAGCTGAAACCCGTTCTGGAAACCCTCCCGGAAACGGATGAGCTCTTCGATAAGTGCCTTGAGCTCGGGCTGGTGATGCATCGCCCGCCGGGCGTCGTCAGCCACGTTGGGATGTCGCTCATCCCGTATCGGATGCGGCGCGACGTCCTCCAGGAGCTCTTTCGACGGCAAACACTCTGGAATGAAGCGGTGGATCGCACCGCGAGGGATTTCTCTTTTCTCCATCGCGCGCTCCGCTCCGTGAGCACGACGGATACGAAGTTCACCGGCCGTCTGGTGCGCCTTCTCGAGGAGGTCTACCTCGATGACGAGCCCGTCGCCGCGGGGAGGCCAAAAAAAGTGTATCAGAAGCTCATGCTTGGAATCCTTCGCTCGGATTACATGCACGCAATCGACGAGGAGGGGGAGGGGGACCGCGTTGAGCGGTGGAAACATGTGGAGATTAACACGATCAGCTGCTCCTTCGCTGGGCTCGCACCCCTCGTAGGGGATTTTCATGATTATCTCCGCCTCCATCGCGGGGTTCTTCGCGGCGGCAACGGTGATGAAAAAGAGGCTGGCAAGATCGAACGGAGCACCTCAGGCGTGGCGATCCCCGCCGCCCTCGCGCAGGCGGTGAGGGCATGGATGAAATCCATCCCGTTGGAGGAGTTTTCCCGCCGATACGCTGCCAAGGAAGGGGGTGGGAATCGCGACCTTCTCCCTGTCGTCCTTGTTGTCGCCCAGGAGGGCGAACGCAACGTCGCGGATGTGCGCAAACTCCTCTTCGAGTTGCTAAACACCTACCGCATTCCGAGCATCCGTCGAACCCTCCGCGAACTCCACGAATCGATGGAGTTAATCCCCTCTCACGAGGCGAATCCACCTTTCGCGGTGGTGGAGAAACACTACGTGGCGGCGGTGGTGTACTTTCGCAGCACCTATATCCCCGCCGACCTCCCGGACGACGCCGCGTGGCAAACGCGAACGGCTTTGGAGCGGTCGAACGCCATCAAATGCCCGAGCCTACCTTATCACCTGATGACGTTTAAAAAAATCCAGCAACTCCTCTGCGATCGCGCGGGCGTGCTCGCGCCGATCGGTTTTGCCGGAAATGAGGAAAAAGCGGCGACGCTTTCCGCGCATTTCATGCCGCAGTTCTCCCTCAACGTGGAGGAGTACCTCGAGGGGAATCCGGAGGAAATCATACAGGCGGCGGTTGACCATCCAGAGGAATTCGTTCTGAAACCCCAGTTGGAGGGGGGGGGGAATATCTTCCACGGGGAGCAAATGCAGCGGTTGTTGCGGGATACACCTGTTGAAGACCCCGAGTACATGCATATCCGAAAGGAGTACATTCTTATGCGGAAGATCCACAGCCCGAAGGAAACCGCGGCTCTTTTTCGCGAGAAAACTATCACCCCACTCGCGGAGGATGCACTGTCGGAGCTGGGGATCTACGGCGTCGTCCTCTCCAACGGGGAGGGGTTCGCGCTGAACGAGGCCGCTGGCTATGTCATACGCACGAAACCTGCGAGCACTCAGGATGGCGGGGTGATGGCGGGTAATGCATGTCTGAGCAGCCTGTTGGTTCTGTAAAAGTATTAAACGTGCACACCATTAACATATATATATATATATATAATATGAGTGTATTTATTTATTCGTTCGCTTAAACGCACATCGTTGCTAGTATTATTAGAGGGGTTGCTTCGGGTCTGTTCTTGGATAGCTTCACGTGTCGGAGTGTGGGTTAGGATGTATTTTCTCTTCCAACCCCTGCGAAGAGGATCTGATACCACTACTGCTCAGCTTGTGGCTCTATCGCAAATAGGGTAGACATGCAAGTTGCTCTATTCTGGATAGAAATTCATATATTCCACTCCGAAGGGTGTTCACTTTTTGGAAAAAACTTGCTAATTATTATACGAATTGATAATAAGATCATTCAAATTTACTGATTTTGAAAAAATCAAAGCATTATAAAAACATTACGCGACCTTTGATTCATATATCATAAACATTATGGGTTGATCTGCTATTTATTTGTTCTGTTACCGTTTACAATCGGTCAAACAACCTACTATTGGCATTCATATTGCTTTGTGGTATCCTGTTCAACGCAGCTTTAGTGGGTGGCTTTCAAAAAATATAGTTCTTTTAAACCGTAGTTTACAGGAAAACTATACTTTGAGGAAAGAAAAATAACTTAAACCTCACAAGTACTTCAAGCATCAAGAAATGAAAAATAGCATACGATAGTACATAATAAAAAAGGGGAAAATAATGTAATTAAGGCAGATCAGGAAGCCGAGAACAAAAGCAATCGTCGAAATGCCCCTGCATGCGTGAGGACCCCAATGAGGACTTAACCATGTATTTGCACGTCAGTCTGACGGCGTGTGTTCACGCTATTGATGCGAATCATACACCGCGGCCCTTTGCCTTGGAGGCGAGGGCAACTGAGGGGTCCTCTGAGGTGGGATGATGGACGCCGAGGCTGCGCGCTTTGGCGTGGGTTGTAGCGAGTGGGGAGGGATACGGGTAGATTCGGAGGGGAGAGGCTGGCGGGATGATGAGAAAAGTGGAATGGATCGCTGACTCTGAGGGGGAGCGAGCCCCAGCGGCGCGTTCGCGTTGCGGGAGGCCACCTCCTATGCAAGAGAACCATTTCTCATACGCAGGTAAATGCGCTTCTGACGCCGCCGGACGAGGTTGCCTCCTCTCCCTCGCACCTCCCCTTCTGCATTGTGAGTATCCCTCCACCCGTGTGTGAGTGTCAATGTGTATGGGTGTGCCGTGTACGTATGATGAGAACCCTACGATCGTATTATGAATATCACTCCGAGGCACTCAGGGTGCCTATGAGAGGGAGAACAGCTTGGAACCGCAGAGAAGGGCTGACAGGGTACACGGCCGGCCACACACGGGCCTCCGCTACGGATGGGAAGGCGTCTTTGCGGCCCCTCCCAGCAGGCTTCCGTATGGCGTGCAGGATCAACGGGGAATAAAAGGGAGGGGAGGGGAGGGGAAGCGGGCGCGACGAAAGCCATTTTTTGAGTCATCGCAAGGTTCCATCGCCGAATGGCGCACGGGACGTTGGGGAAACGCTACATCCCCTGCGATGAATTAGAATGGCGAGAGATGCACTTGTGGATCGGAGGGACGGGTGAGTTCAGGGGGGGAGAGGCTGGCGGGATGATGAGAAAAGTGGAATGGATCGCTGACTCTGAGGGGGAGCGAGCCCCAGCGGCGCGTTCGCGTTGCGGGAGGCCACCTCCTATGCAAGAGAACCATTTCTCATACGCAGGTAAATGCGCTTCTGACGCCGCCGGACGAGGGTCTCCCTCCCGCTGTGTGGTGGTGGTTCTTTTTGTGGTTGCTTTACACCTTCTCGCCCTACTTCTTTTCAAACAAGCCGTTAGTCAGCTGTACTTTGTCTTCCGCTGGGCGTGCGCCGGGTTTTGCCCCGTCGTGCGCGTCGCTTCGTAGACGGTTCACGGCGTTACGCTGCTTGGAGAGCCCCTTGACGGCGGCCGCGCACCGGGGGAGGAGAGGCCGCGTGTTTTTTTCCTCGATGACGATAAACCGAAAACGACAAGCTTCTTTTCTGACATGCGACTCGCTTCGCGTGGTGGTGTTGATGGAAACCGTATCGAATCCGCAGAGAAGTCTGAGAGAAAAAAGCACCCTGGCGTTCCCCTGGCGACGTGGCCGCTCCGTGGCGTGTGTGGAGGGTATGGGGGTGGTGTGGGATGGCGTGTGCGTGTGTGGAGGGTATGGGGGTGGTGTGGGATGGCGTGTGCGTGTGTGGAGGGGGCGAGGCTGAAGCCTCGGGAAGGTCATGTGGGTGTTAGTGCGTTTGACGGGTGGGTTCGCTTTGTGGGGTGGAGTCCCATAGGACGCCTCGCGGGATGTGGGTCTCCACAGCCGATGAAAAGGAGCGGAATAGGGGCTTCCTCTTTTCCGATACGCAGCTTGCGTTACTGCTTGATGCATCGTCTCTTCCCGCTATGCAAGTGAGCTTCATGGTCTTAAACTACTTATAAACAAATCTATCTCCATCTTTTTTTCTTCATTCAATGGTATTATTTCGCTAGACTATAATATTTACAATATCGAAAAGTATTTGTAGATCAATGCCGCCGAGAGTGAGTCAGGCAGCCTTCCATACGCGGATGTGGAATTTCTACCAGAGCTATAGACGAGATATTTTCTTTTCCTGTGTAGCTGCGTGTGCGCTATTTTTCACTGCACGGGCTGAGCTGATGCGACACGGGGTGCTAGAACGAAGAAGCCCCGTTGAACTCTATCCAAAGGTTACCAAGCAATTTGGCCATAAGAAGGAAGAATAGTCGATGTAGGTACTCTGTTATCGTAATGCTTACTTCTTTCGAAAATTTGAAAAATCAGTAATGTCGAATATTTGGTAATATATATGCATCATAGATTACCAGAAACGGCATACAAAAGCAGACGTATAACCAAACTCTGATTTTTTATCTTCATAAAGGTAACACAAAGAGAGTAATCAATTAACTCTCCGGCACTGCCTTTAATAACTTCATTTGGTATCGATATATGGTATTCCTTGAAAATGGGGAAAATTATTCTTTCTCATTTTTTAGATTTAACGTTGAATTTCCATTTTTCGAACCGGAACCTTCTTTGATAAGCCTTTTAGCTTGTCACCTTGAATCACCCCACTATAATTTGTGTTTCTTTATGAGTGAAAAATAGGAAATGAAGGTCCTGTAGAAGAGGTGGATATGGAGACGATAGCGAAATGAGGATCAACCTCTTTTTTAGCTAATTTAACTCTATTTTGGTACGAAACAGAGAATCTGAGCAATTTTTTTTGTCAGTCGCGAGTACTGTAAGGTTACGAAGATAAGAGCGTAAAAGTGCGGTTAAGGCCATCGTCATTTGCAAGCAACGATCGTTTAAAAGTCACTAACCGCTTTATGTGGGCTCTGGAGCTGCCATTCTTTTACAGTCCTTCTTGACTCTGGTGCTAAACCTGCTTGGTGGGAATTCACTCGACCTAAAGGGCGTAGTAGTTTAGCCTTCGTGTAACGTATATTTGTCCAAACACATAATACGATATTTTCGAATTCAATTCTAATGCGCAAAAAGGAAAACTATTTTTCATTCGAACTCCTTCGAGATCTGAGGTGTGGGAAGAGGAATATTTTTGTTGGGTTACTGCTTGCTCAGTCCTTCTCGCAGACGTTAAGACGAACAAGACTAGGAAAGGATCTCTATCGGGTGTGCTTGCGATAGTCTCCCTGCTTATCACTCATCCATCCCTCGATCGTTTTCCCTCTCGCTCTCTCCTTTTGATTGACTCTTCGGCGTGGGTATCCTTCTTTTTCTCAGTAGTTTATCCATCCTAGGCACCACACGCATATTACGGAAACCCCACGTGACGAATAATTTTTTTAAAAAAAACACATAGTAAGGATACCTCTGTGTATAAGTGGTTATTTATGTATTACTAGTCCACACCCTTATAGATACCTATATCGAAAGAAACAACTGCACAACTAATTTATGAAAAGTGTCAATTATGTACCCGTCGCTCGCATTCCTCTCCACCAATGGAAAGGAAGTGAACCTGGCGAAGGAGGGGTTGAAGCGCACGGGGATTTTTGAAGCACCGGAGGCGCCGTTGACGCCCGGAACCCCCGGGGAGGTGCCCTTCCACGACGAACCCCGCCCTCGTGGCGCCGCGCCCAACCCCTCAAGGGGGCCCGGATACTTCACCATCCGCCGCGCCCCACCGCTGCTGAGCTCCGCCCCCACTGGGATCGATCTCGGAAAAACGGGAGGGGGAGGAAATAGTGGAAACCTCGGTGAAAATGGCGATCTCCCCAACGAGGCGGCAGCCCTTCTTCGTTCGGAGCCCGCCTCGTATGGCGGGCGGCCGCATGTTCCCGAAGGTCCTTTGAATCGTCTTCCGCTCCGAGCGGGCGGTCGACCGCGTGGGGGGCGTGGAAAATCCGACGGAAACGACGCCGAGGGGATTCGTGGAACCGACGCTGGGAATGACGACCCCTCCCGACGGAGCCCCGCCCGCCCTGCGATCGTCCCGCTCTCCTCCACGCGTCTTTCCACTGGTGGCGGGGGTCCTCCCCCCTCCGATGGCAGCGGCGGCATCAAACCCGCGGCAAGACGATGTGGAAGAGGCGGGCTGCATCTTTCCGCGCTTCCAACACCCTTATTACTCTTGGAAAGTGGAGGAGGAGGAGGAGGGGGGGAAGTTCATCCGCAATCCACCGGCGCCTCCCCTTCCCCGGGAGAATCGAGCCGCAGCATCGTAGAGTGGAGCGGTGGGGGGGCCCTTCGCCCGACGGGCGCCCTCGGGG